TTGATCAGCGTTATTAGAACATTCTTTCGAACTACAATAATTATGAGTTCGATCATAAGATTCAGCTATTGCACATTCAACATAATTAAAAGTCTAGAAACAACTTCTATCACATAACTTTCAAAAGTAACCGTAGTGAAAATTTGAACTATGAATGACTGCGATAAACAATTGAAAGAATAAACGAGTGATGATAATATCAGTATAACGATCGAATAATTCGAAATTATTACCTGTTAGTGAATGTTTTCGGATTGAGTCGCCAAATAAGTATAGCATCTGCACATGCAACCGCCAGAAGCATGGTATCGAAAGGCCTGCAATGTGACCAATCACAGCTGTTAGATAAAAAACTCACTAATCAACAAATCCACATAATATAAGTGAATAGCATACATTCTCGAAAAGATTTATATTTTTGACAAAGAAACAGATAAAACGAGTGCTTTTGAAATATTTTGCACGGGTCATGTGAATTTGCATGTGTTACGCGCGGTGCACATAGAATGTGCTTAGGTTATTTGAACATTTGAAGAAAATCCAATAAGAACCACGATTCGGACAGCTTTAAGTATCGAATAATATGCAATAAGTGAGCCATAGCTACAAGCTGATTACAGTGTGACGAATAAAAAAGAACACAAAATGAACGCAATAAAACAATATACACATAAAAAAAGGAGAACAAACAACAAAGGCAAACCAACTTCCAAGTCATATGCGTAACACTTTTTTGTCGTGGATGTTTGAGTGTGATCGGTGATCGGGATGTATTACCGAACGAATAAATTCGAACGTGATCACTCAACTGGCACACTGCTAAACGATTCCCTTCGTTGTTGAATGCTATACATCTGATCCAATTCGTTTTCCTCAAACACCAATTAACTCTTAACGAAAACAACAATACTGTAACAAGGCCATATTAACAATGAAGCAGCATCAATAATAATGGTAACAAAATACAAGGACAGTAGCAATAGCAACAATAATAATAACAATATTGCAATAGTAAAATACTAAAATAATCATCAGATTAATGATACAATGACCGCTGTAAAATAATCATAATTTTGAAAC